TTTTTTTTTTATTTTTTAATCCTGATGGCATTTGGAATTGGAGCAGAAAGGCCACGCGCACAGAAATGCTTTTATTTAATTTAGGTAGGCTTTAGGTCTCTCTCCTGGATATGGGCAGTGGGCTTATATTTATTTTTGTTGGGCCCATTCATAATACATATATATCTATATATAATGTAATGTGTAAAATTGGTGCCCTTTTTTTGTTGGGGCCCTGGGCCGTCGCCCAGGTCGCCCTGGGCCTGGGCCGGCTCTGCCAATGGGAATGGCAAACCCATCTCCATAAGATTAGTCATTCCATAGTAAATGGAAGGTTTTTTCATTCCCATGTGTGTAGGAATCAATTTTTCAAAAAATAAAATTAACAAATAATAATAATAAATAAATATATAATATATAATATAAATTATGATTAAAATATATTAAATAAAATTATTTTTAAAAAAAATTCAAATAAAAAAATTAAGAACTTACTTTTATTTATTTTTTAATTAGATATATTAAATACTTATATAAAAATAAAACTAAAACAAGATCATTTATATATAATTTAAGAATATATTATTTTATTTTTATATATTATTAAAAATATATTATTTTTTATATATTAAAAATATATTACTTTTAAAAATATATTATTGAAAAAGATATTTAAAATATATATTATTAAAAATATATTATTTTAAAAAATTAAATTCAAATAAAAAATTAAAAACTTACTTTTATTTACAGTTTAATTAAAAAATAAAATAGATATTATTAAAAATATATTAATTTTTATTTTTAAATATTATTAAAAATATATTATTTTTTATATATTAAAAATATATTATTTTTTATATATTAAAAATATATTAAACAATATATTACTTTTAAGAATATATTACTTTTAAGAATATATTATTTTTTATATATAATTTTAAACTATATTATTTTATTTTTATATATTATTTTTATATTATTAAACAATATATTATTCTATTTTTATATATTATTCAAAATATATTATTAAAAATAGTTTATTTTATTTTTATATTTATTAAAAAAGCATTTATAATTTATTAAAAGTATATTATTTTTTAAAAAAAGCTTTTATTTATTTTTATAATAAAAAATAATAATGTCATTCCATTCCAACCCTATTCATTCTGCATACCAAACGCATCAATGACAAAATATGTTTCATTCCATTCCCATAATCATTTCATTCTTCAATTCATTCCATTCCTACCAAATTTCATTCCATCATACCAATCATGCTATAAGTGGTGGATGACTCCATAGAATTTTTGTATAAGAATCATTGTTTTAAATAGCTCGCTATGTAGCGAAATGTTGAAATGTCACGCTTTTTATGCTATTTTGCGTTATTTCACGCTATTGTGCGTTACATAGTGTTATATATCTGCAACGATATTCACACAGAGTCGTACATGTATTCACACAGTCACACAGCTAATCGCGTCATGCTAAAAATAATTGAGCTATCACACAATACTTACCTCAGAGTTGGCGCGACACGACGAAAGCGAGTGACCAACTTTTACAACCCTTTGAATTTTTTTTCAAAAAAAAATTCTATCTTTGAAAAATGCAAGTCTACAGAACCATAGACATACTCTGATACCACACTGTAACACTCGCTTATTTTTTCTTAGAAATCACGAAGTTTTTCAGAAATAATTTGAACTTTCAAAAAGTTTCAACAGATTTTAAAACTCTTTGGGCATTACTGAAAACCTTTCTTTTCAACAATTCAGGCCATAATAAAATCCTATTCGTAAAAATCTCAAAACACGCAGTCAAAGTCTCATCACACATTCTTAGTCTCAACACACAGTCATAGTTCCAATAACAAAACCCAAGATAACACAAAGCTGAGAATTTATTTGCGGAAGCAATAAAATCATTTAACAAATACTTCGATCACCTTCGTCTCCTCGTGACTGCAGCCAACTACTCAACCTGAAAAAAAAAGATAATGTACGAGAGTGAGCAAACAACAAGCTCACCGTGGGAAACTATGCAATTATCCAGTATAATAATAGATAACATAATTTTTAGCATGGATATGAACAACACAGGTCTCATCTGTCTCAATATCTCTATCCATCAGTCGTCTCATGTGTACACTTTTATCGTCAATTATCTGTCTCATAGGCGCTCAACGACAAGAGCTCAACTGAATGCCACACAGTGCGGCACACAGTCAAATGCGCTATACAGTCAAATGCCTGTCTCATAGGCAATTTTGTCACACATCATATTGTCATAGTGCCATACACATACTTCAACTATGAAATCATGCGATTATAAAGAATAAAGACATAGTAGTTTAGCAACACCCATCTCAATTCAGATGATATAGAAAATGTATATGCTTCACACAGTCACTGGAGGGCTCGACTCCTCGATTATTAGAGTTTAGTAGCCAGAGTGAAACAAGAATGAGTGGGCAAAGTAAAAAAAAAAAAAAGGAATAGTTGGATAGATGAACTGTAATTTTTCCAAATAAAAAATTATGAAAATGTACTTTGGTAAGTATTTCAATCAATTTCCCCCAAATACATTATCCCCATTCAAATTGTTTAAATTGTTTCGCCGGACGAAGACCTCCAGTAAGGCAGCTCTGATCGGCGCGGCCATCGACACCTCCGACTGGAAAAATTCGACACCTCCGATGGCGGCGGCGATGGTATTCCGGAAGCTGTGGCCGAACTTGCTTCGTGGCTGGGCAACTGACTGAGATCTGGCGAGTGACCCTCCGGTCGCCACAGGAGGAGATTTCTAGCAGCCTATGAGCCTACGAACTGGCTGCTACTGAATGTGAGAAACTCGAAGGAGTCTATCAGAGAGAAACTATTCATTGTTTGGTTGAAGAAACCTTGGATAGGACCTGCGTTGTTCGGCACCTCTTCAGGTTGGCGACGCCTTTCCATCATAAAAAAATGTGTCTTACGACTTTGACCTTTGAGGAATAACCTTCAATGAGGGACTTTTTCGATCTCAGTGTTCTCAACTCTTCTACCTTCATGGAATTTGATTGTGGATTTTGTTATATTAAAGGTGTATGTAGTTCCACTGTCATAATGTTCCAAAAAGTAGCTGTGGCTCTTTTCATAATTAACAGTAGAGAGTGAAGTGTTTGAGTCAGTATGCTTTTTGTTAATGCTTGTTAGTTTAAATTAAAAAAAAATTATAGGAAGTTAAAATTTTGTGAAGTATGTGAAGAGACTTATTTTGCATCTTGAAGTCTACTTTTATAACTAGTTAATGAAGTCAATGGTACCCACAGATAGCTTAGATAAGTGAAATAATAAGAAATGTCTTCTGAAATTATATTAAATGTGTTTGGGGTTTATTTGTGGAGATGCCTCTTAACATTTTCCTGCCACGATGCTGGTAGAAGATGATTCTGGGAATTATACTCTTGTGAGCTTATATTAGGTAAGACATCACGCCTTGTTGAAGTTGTGTACTCCTGAAGTTTGTATCCATAATATCTTGTCATCATGTTGGCTATGCTCACTGATATTGTTATATTTCAATTGACAAAATTATACTCAATCCATGACCAAGTGAGTAGTCAGTTGGTCTTCTTGTTATATTGATTTGTTAGTCAGTTTATCTCACGTAATAAATCCTTTCTATGTTCGGTAATGTAGATTAACATGTAGCCTAATGCTTGCAGATGTACAGATTTAAAGATCTTTTATCCCTGGGGAAGTTGATAATTATTGTTTGCATTCGAAGTTCAGTAATGAAAGTATGCAACCTGAAGCTTGATATTCAAATGAGTGTAACGGACGTTGCTCAATTTATAGATTAGAAATCACTTAGTGAAATGGGCTCTCCTGTCCTGTCTAAACATGTAGCCGCTGTCATAAGGAACCAAAAGGACCCCTTAAGGGCTCTGGAGATGTTCAACTCCATTAAAAAGGAAGATGGCTACCGACACACTTTACAAACTTACAAATCCATGGTTGAAAAGCTCAGCAATTCTGGTGAATTTGAGGCTATGGAGAATCTCATGGTGGAGATGAGGGAAAACCTGGATAACAGCGTGCTTGAAGGTGTCTACATTAGTGTCATGAGAAATTACGGCAAGAATAGGAAAATTCAAAAAGCTGTCGACATATTTGAGAGGATGGATTTCTACAATTGCGAGCCCACTGTTTATTCTTATAATGTCATTATGAACATTTTGGTGGAGAATGGATATTTTAAGCAGGCTCACAAAGTTTATATGAGACTGAAAGATAAAAATATTGCACCAGATGTGTATACATACACAATTAGGATTAAATCGTTTTGTAGAACAAATAGGCCTCATGCTGCTCTGAGGCTTCTGAATAACATGCCAGCTCAGGGCTGTGAATTTAACTCCGTGGCTTACTGTACAGTGATTGGTGGATTTTATGAGGGAGATTATAGGGTAGAAGCATATGAGTTGTTTGGCCAGATGCTTGGACTTGGCATTGTCCCTAATGTTGCCACATTCAATAAGCTGATACACCCTCTGTGTAAGAGGGGTGAGATAAGAGAGAGTGAAATACTATTGAATAAGATTCTCAAGAGGGGTGTGTTACCTAATTTATTCACATTTAACATTTTCATTCAAGGCCTTTGCAAGAAAGGCCTGCTCGATCATGCTGGCCGGATGTTGGACAGTGTTACTAAAGATGGTCTTTGCCCCGATGTCGTGACGTATAATACGCTTATACGTGGTTTTTGTAAGAACTCGAAAGTGGCCGAGGCCGAGAATTGCATGAATAAAATGGTTAATAGTGGTTTTGAGCCTGATGCTTTCACCTACAACACAATAATTGATGGGTACTGCAAACTCAATCTGGTGCAAAAGGCGAACAAGATTCTTCTTGATGCTGTACATAGAGGGTTTGTGCCGGACGAGTTTACGTACAGCTCCTTATTGTATGGCTTGTGTGAGAATGGTGATATTGACCGGGCCATAAGTATATTCGATGAAGCTAATAGGAAAGGCGTGAAACCTAGTGTTGTTTTGTACAACGGTTTGATTAAAGGACTCTGCCGGCAGGGGCTCGTATTGGAAGCCCTTGAAGTGATGAATGGGATGGGGCAAAATGGTTGCTCTCCCAATATTTGGACTTATAATTTGATAATAAATGGCATGTGTAAGCTGGGTTGTTTAAATGATGCGAGTATGCTTATGAATGGTGCATTGGACAAAGGGTTCCTTCCTGACATATTCACATTTAATACTTTGATTGATGGCTACTGCAAAAAGTTGAAGATTGGTGAGGCACTTGAAATTGTCGACGTCATGTGGGAGCATAATATTACTCCGGATATAATCACATATAACACTATATTGGATGGGTTATGCAAGACTTCACATGCGGATGACGTATTTGAAACCTTTAAATCAATGATGAAAAAGGGTTGTGTGCCTAATGTGATAACTTATAATATATTGATTGAGAGCTTTTGCAAAGCTCGTAAAGTCACGAGAGCTTTGGAATTTCTCAATGAGATTCAGGAAAGTGGATTGTGTCCAGATATAGTAACTTTTTGCACTTTGATTAATGGATTTTGTGAGAACAGGAATATGGAAGAAGCGTACTCGTTGTTCCGTAAAATGGAAAAGCACTATAAATTCCCGCCTACACTGGCGACTTATAATATCCTGATCAATGCATTTTCGGAGATGGCAAACATGGATATGACAGTAAAGCTGTTTCGTGAAATGAGTGAAAGCGGGTGCCCACCGGATAACTACACTTACCGTTGTATGATAGATGGGTTTTGCAAGTCTGGAAACACTGACTACGGACACCGATTTCTTCTTGACTGCATATCTGAAGGGTTTGTGCCGTCCCTAACGACATTTGGGCGAGTTTTGAATTGCCTGTGTGTAAAGCACAGACTTCGTGAGGCAGTTGAAATTGTGTACCATATGGTGCACAAGGGAATTGTACCTGATGTTGTGAACACGATCTTTGAAGCAGATAAGAAAGAAATTGCGGCCCCCAAGATAGTTGTGGAGGACTTGTTGAAGAAATCACATATAACTTACTATGCTTATGAGATTTTATATGATGCCATTAGAGACAAGAAGCTGGTGAAGAAAATGCGAGGATATAAAATGTTTCGAGGTTCTAGAAATGAGCATTCTTAACTGTATACTCAGTTAGGAACTTTGAAAACCAAGTGTGAGGATAGCTGTAGTATTGTGGAGATTGAGCTGGGACTTATGGTGAGTAGTGGTCGTATCATGATATGTTGCATTATTATTTTAGTGTAAATTTTTTTTCTCCAATGTAATATATCTAAAGTTCCTTCAGGATTCTATCATGGCGAAGAAACTTATCAGCTAATCCGTCGTCTCCAGCTGTTGTCAACAGGTACATACCAGCATCTCAGTTACATTTGGTGATTTGGATTAATGTATTGTCTTCGTGAAACTTAGAACATCAGTTCTTGTTGTAACTACTGTGCCTATAATCTTGCATTTATAATTTTATTCTTCTTGGGGCTGAATTATTGAGCTTCATGAAATTAAAAAGTCAGGATGAGAATCCATTTCTGAAATTCCCAGTGCCAAAGTAACTTTAAGTAATATTCCAAAGCATATTTTGTATATATAATAATATATCTAATATTCTCATTTCAGTAACCCATTAATCAGGAAAATATGATTAAGCTCCGCTCCGCTAGTGACTATTTAATTGAGTTGTAACTAGTATCAGAAAAGTGGATCTAACAAATGCCAACATGAAATATTGCAGTTGAGTTTGTTTTTCTTCAATTGATCCAAATGAAATGTAATATGTATTAACAACTTTACGATACTTTTAAAAAGATTGTTCGTGCTACTTAAATTGCTTGTGTATGTGCTTGATTTCTGCCATTGACTTTGCTTATTCATATCAATACTGTATCCTCTTGCACACTTTTCGCTAGAAAATTTGCTGGAATATTGAAACTAGTATATATATGATGAGCAAACCTTTATACTATTCTTAAATTACTTCTTCACAAAACCCTTCTGGTCATAGTTGTGCAATTTCAACAGATGAAATTACAAGTCTGAAGCTGAGATCTATTTCGTAGCCCTGAGGACATTGGTTTTGCATTGGTTTTGTGGGGAAGGAACCGAAACTAGGAGAGACTCCTCATTGTGAGGATATTGAAGTGATCAAACAGAAAAAACTCTTTACATCGTGTCAAATAGCAGTGATGGTGCGCTTCATGGAGTTTATTTCTGTGCAATTTCTCAACTTTCTAGCATTGCATCTGATTCAAATTCATATCATTTTCAGGATAAATAGAACCCTCAAATAATTGACCTAGCTTCTGTTAGAATGCCCAGGAAAAGACTGGAGAAACTACTTTCTGATGTCATCTCCACTGTCCCCACAGAGAGATTCTGGTCTCGTTTGTGGAATGGTAAATGAAAATGCTCTTGGAGAAACTCTTCACTTCACGATTCAGATGGAGTCGGAATCTTCTCCTTACTCCACAAAGTCAATCCCAGGTGCCTTTTCACTACCCTCTTTACTTTTTGGTGTTTTTGACTACCGAAGAAGCTAGTTTTTGAGGGAACTGGTGAAAAGTGTTGCACATTCAGAAAGTGTGTACAGTTCTTTGTGCTAGATTTGGTTTAGGAACAGACATCTCAGAGGGCTTCTTGTTCAGATCATATTCCTAAAAAATTGACCAACAAGATATGATCTGAACAAAGTATGTACAGTTCCTTGAGCCAGATTTGGTTTAGAAATCTGTAAATTTCTGTATATTGATATTTTTCTGAAAAAGTAACATTGTTTGAATAAACTGCTGTATCGAATTTGATCAAGATTGAGGAAACATGAAAAACAAGTTCAATCTTGCTACGATTAGAATAGTTTCTTTGCTGAAGTAAGCGTGGGTCTCCTAATACTTAATAGCTAAAATGTGTGGTTTCTGATTTCAATTCATGGTAGTATATTTGTTGGTTGAGCTTCTCAGATTCATTGAGCTAGAAAATTATAGTGTTGTGGAAAATTATCCCTATTGAGATAGAAAACCCAGAATATTATTGAAAAAAATTCTCTCAGATGTATGGAAAACACACTCACAGACAAGTACTGAGGCAAACATTCAAGCTGAAGCACGCACAAAGTTCTGTGTAGGCGGTGTTACAGCTTGGCCATAAGAGCACGCACAAAGTTCTGTGTACTGCGGGAATAGATGGTGCAGCTGCTCTCTCTCTCTCTCTCTCTCTCTCTCTCATGATGTAAATGAAACGATATGTTGGTGGTGTTTAGTTCTGAAACGTAGAGTTGTGGAGGTGATTGGATTGTAGCGTATGTGATAAAAGAAAATGTTTCCAGATTTACAAGTCAAAACATGTTTAAGAAAACGATTCAAAACTGGTAAGTCTGATGTTTTGAGTGTTGATACGATAGTGCATATCCAATGAAAGTAGTTGGCAGAAAACTAGGTTGTTTCACATTAGTTTTACATTTCTATTAAACACTTTTCATATATATATATATACAAAAATTCTATAGAGCCATCGGATGATTTTCTTATAGAGTCATCCACCACTTAATGTGTTGACAACTGTCTAATGAGACTATTTTTTAAAATGAGTACATGAGACTCAATCATAGTCATTTAATTATATTAAAATTAAAATACACATTAATGGTTCATATTCACGGCGCACGGATTTCAGTGGTAGCTCTCAGGGGCGGCACATCAAATATGTGGCTCATCTAACGGCGGCGAGTCCAAGGCCTTGACCTACAACGTGAAGGGCGGTCGAAGGAATTTTGTATGTGTCAATTAGCGATGGCGTGACACGACAGAGGCTTCCACCAACCGATGGTGGATGATGAGGCGGTGACTGGGGCGACGAGTCGTGAATGGCGGTCGATTGATGTGCGACCTTTGGCGATTGCAAATTCGACAACAAACCCGATGGCGAAAGGTAAAACAGACATTAGCGATCTGGCGATCATGTGGAGTTATGGCTACTGACTCGATTTGATGGCTGTTTCATGATGGTCGATGACTGGTTCGACCTGACTGGCTATAGGATAACGACAATGGCCATGTATCCCCGAAAAGACGGACATCGGTGGATATGCGGCACCGGATCAATTGGTGGTCGCTGAAGACCTGGGGATTATCTACGTTGTCTGATTTGTGGCTCGTACATCGGGTGGGGTGTCTTAGGCCTTGTTTGGTAATCAGCTGTTACGGTTAGCTGTTAGCTGTTTATATTAGCTGTTTTGACCAGCAGATTGCATTAGCTGTTTTGACCAGCTGATCGTGTTAGCGGTTTGTAAAAAAGTGTTTGGTAAAATTAACTTTTTTAATTAGATGTTAACATGTAAAATTACTTATAAGGACATCAACATACTTTCACATTCTAATTTATGTTGAACTTATAATTATTTAGGAAATATAAATAATTAATATTTTTAATATTTATTAATTGATTTAAATATGATAAAAATATAAATAAAAATAAAATAAAAATATTTCATAATCGAATAAATAAGTTCACGTCATATATAATTTTTTCCTTTTTTTTTTCTTGTCATTAGAATTTCCTCAAAAGTATAAGTTATTTAAGGATGTATGGGGTTAGGATCTAGGAATAATAAATTTAGAATTAATCAATTTAAAGATCATTTATGCCCAAAATTGACGTGTCATATCCACCCATTAATTTTAAAATTTAGACTGGTTTTCACATGTGTCCCTAGCTCATAGCCGCCAAGCAGCAAGCAAAATCTAATTTGTAGCTACCAAATTCAAAGTTTTAAAACTAATTAGCAAAGACCCTTATTTTATTTTATTATATTCAGCAATAAGGTAATGAGAAGGACAACTAAAGACATTTGATTTTTATACAGGGAACCGCCAAACTAATACGCTGCTAAAAGCTGCGTTTTATAATTTGGCGGATGGGCACAAAAAAGCTGTTTGTAACAGCTATTTACCAAACATATTTTGTAGCTGTTTAAAAAAGTTTGGCGGATGGGCACAAAAAAGCTGTTTGTAACATCTATTTACCAAACATATTTTGTAGCTGTTTAAAAAAGTCAAACAGGTAATTGGAAGAAAAAGCTCTTTTGAGAGCAAAAAGCCATTTACTAAACGCGGCCTTAGTCTTTGGGATAATTTTTTCACAGGTTTTTATTTCCTTGTGTTTTGGAAGATTTCAATATTTATGTTTATTAATAAAATAATTCTCATCGTCTCCTCACATAAAACAATTCTAAATGACTTTTAGTTCCATAAGTAAGAGCAATTGACGATCGCTTTTAGCCCCATTTTTTGTTTCAATAAAAAAAGGATACAAATAAAAAGGGATACAAATAAAAGTTATACTAACTTTTAAAATATAATAAAAAATATGATTTTTAATCAATAAAATAAATGAGAATAAATAATATATTAAAAGAAAATGCTTCACAACTCAACCACCCACAGTGTGGGGCCTCCCGCCCCCTCCATTTCCACTATCTCTTCATCCATCACAATTCACAAGTTTTTAATGATAGTATAAAAGCATATATTATAGTCTCCAACCATACACAGAACCCACCAACATTCTCACTCTTCTTTCACTCTCTACCTCTCTTTCTCTCTCTCAAACCACTCACACAAAATGAAATCCTCCTCCTCATCCGCCGCCGCTCCTCTCACGCTCCTCCTCCTCCTCTACTCCCTTTCTTCATTCAATGTAAGTCTTCTCTCCTCAATTATTATTATTATTATTATTATTATTATTATTATTATTCATTTTGCAATCTGCATTCAATTAATTGATTGGGAAATGAGCTTAACCAATGGAAATCGGCCAAACGGCGTACTTACTGTTTGTGTCTATATGTGAAAAGCAGTGAATAATGGTGTAGCATATTACTTGGCCCTTCCATTCCATTCTGTTGTTAATTGTCATCGATTTTTTCGCAACATTCTACATTCCAGTTAATTACTGCTATTTAATGGAGTGAATGAATTGAATGCAGGTTGTCGCCGGAGAAAACCCCTTCTCGCCCAAGGCTTCCTTATTGCGCTACTGGAGGACTCAGATCTCCAACGGTTTGCCGAAGCCGGAGTTCCTTCTGAACAAAGCCTCGCCGCTCACCGCCGTTCAGCACGCCGCCTTCTCCAAGCTCGCCGCCGATCCGGGATCTCTCTCCGCCCACCTCCCCGAATTCTGCAATAAGGCCAACCTGCTGTGCACTCCCGATTTGTCCCCAAGCCTGGAGAAACACGCCACCGACGTCCACTTCGCCGTCTACACCGACCAGAACTTCACCAACTACGGCACCGACCGCCTCGGCGGCGCCGACATCTTCAAGAGTTACTCCGAGAACGAGAACGTCATCGTGAACACCTTCCGCCGGTACAGCCGCGACTCCACCGGCCACGGGGACGCGTTCTCCGCCTACGCCACGGAAGGCAACGTGGTGGAACAGAGCTTCAACACCTACGGCACATCCGCCACCGGCGGCCAGGGGCGGTTCAGTAATTACAACGACCACGTCAACGTGCCCAACATCAAATTCACATCCTATTCAGACGACGGCAACGGGCGGCAGCAGATCTTCGCCCAGTACACAACTCAGGCCAACGCCGGCGACGAGGGGTTCGCCAGCTACGGGAAGAAAGGCAATGGCGCCATCAACTCATTCACCAGCTACGCCAATGACTCCAACGTCATTGGGTCCACCTTCTCCAACTACGGCGAGCAGGCGAACGCGGCCAACGACAGTTTCACCTCATACGGCACCAACACCAACGTTCCCGAGAACAATTTCAACAATTACGGCGCAGAGGGAAACGCCGCCACAGAAACGTTCGCCAATTACAGAGACCAGGCGAACGTCGGGAACGACGGTTTCAGTTCGTACGCCAAGAGCTCCAACGGCGGCCATCTCGATTTCAAAAACTACGGCAATTCTTTCAACGAGGGGACCGATAAATTCAACAGCTACGGCCAGGGATCTAGAGGAGTGACAGCTGGATTCCAATCCTACGCGAAGAACACCACCTTCACGGATTACTCGAAGCAGGTGGTCACCAAATTCTCCACATACAGGAACACAACCTCCTCCTCCGGCTCCGGCGCCGGCGCCGTCAACAAGTGGGCAGTGGAGGCGGGTAAGTTTTTCAGAGAGTCGATGCTGAAAGAGGGCACAGTCATGCCTATGCCGGACATACGGGATAAAATGCCGAAAAGGTCGTTTTTGCCCCGGACCATTGTCTCGAAACTGCCCTTCTCAACCTCCAAAATCGAGGAGATAAAGAGGATCTTCCACGCTGGCGACAGCGTAGCGAAAATGGTCAGCAACGCGTTGACCGAGTGCGAGCGGGCCCCCACCCCGGGGGAGACGAAGCGGTGCGTGGCCTCCATCGAGGACATGATTGACTTTGCGACATCGGTTTTGGGGCGGAACGTGGTTGTGCGGACGACGGAGAACACGGAGGGGTATAACGGTAATATCCTGCTGGGGGAGGTGAGAGGGATCAACGGTGGGAAAGTGACCAAGTCGGTGTCGTGTCATCAGAGCCTCTACCCTTACCTGCTCTACTACTGCCACTCGGTTCCCAAAGTCCGGGTCTACGAGGCCCATATTTTGGACCCGAATTCCAAAACCAAAATCAACAACGGTGTTGCAATCTGCCATCTGGATACTTCTGTTTGGAGCCCGGGTCATGGGGCTTTTGTGGCGCTGGGATCCGGACCCGGGAAGATTGAGGTTTGCCATTGGATTTTCGAGAATGATATGACGTGGGCGACGGCGGATTGATATGTGTTAGGTCGGATTGGATTGGATTAATGTTTGAGTTGAACCAGTTGCGTTACGGAAGGGGTGAACCACTGGTTCCAACTTCCACCTTTATTGTTATTATTATTATTATTATTATTATTAATAATTAATTGAACTCTTTTGTTGTTGGTTATATTTTTTATTCACATGTTAGATTTTGATAATATATAAGTGTAAAGCTTAACTTTTTTCTGTGTCAATGGTCAATCATGAATGCTCGCTCACCTACTGCCATGTTCATTGCTTACATTTAGTTGCTCCTTTTATTATTTGTTGTATTAGACTATTGTACTGTTAATTATTGAGATGCACCGTACTGTAGTATTAAGAACAGCCCCTCCCTCTCCATGGGTAGTGCTGTAAATGAACCGAATTGAGCTTGGACTGCTCAAGCTCGTGTTCGTTTACGTCCGTCCGAACAGTG